ATTAACTGTTAAAGTTTACCGTAACGTCGCTGTTCCTTGCATTGAACTTAACCTAACCTTTTCCCGAAAAAATATCGTGTTGTTTACAAACTTTGAGACGATATTAGAAGAGTAAATAAATCGAGGTGCCAAAACTTAATATTTTTGGCAAATAAAGGATTTTTTATCTGTTACTGACTTACGACATCGATACGATGAAAACTTTTTTGGAACCTGCATGCCTATTCGCAAATCATTCTACAAGAAAATGTACAGTTAACTAGCTATTTTCATCAGCGTTTCCATACATGATCACCGTATCCATTAATTGAATATCACTGTACTGATATATCACTTTAGTATGTCTAGTAGCATTGAAAACAGAAGTAGAACTAATTTATTAACTAAAAGTGAACTAGACAGCAATTTTTTCGTTTACTACAATGAACGGGAGAAGGAAGCGGACTACAAATATCCATGTCTTTTTATGTAGTACGAACTCGGGAACGATTCCAGAGGTTCTAAACAATCATCATCTAAATCATCATTTAGCAGTATTGTCTATTATTAATTTAAGAGCCGTTTTTCCTGCAAAACTATTAGTTGGGGATCTTGTAATAAGTTTTTCATAATTTTGATTGCGAATAACGTTGTTAGATTTTTAGAAAAATTATTTATTTTATTTGAATTAGCATAATACGTATGAAATGGAGTAAAAATACGAGGGCCAGCAGCAAAATATTATTGAAAAAGAAAATAAATATTAACTTGAATTACGTCCTATGTAGGTAATCCAAATTTTCTCGCTCCAAAAGTAGAATTAAATTTCATATTGTTTCGCTGCTGTAACGTTTGAGTAGAAAAGCTTTTCTGCTAAAAAGCATTTTTCGTTTGAGTTATAAAAAGTTGTTTTCGATGTTGCTAGTTAATTGTCCAGGCTTTAGGAGGTGTTTTATTGTTGATGACTTTATGTGAAGCTTCAATAATTTTGTTGATCGTTATTTGTATTGACTGAAATAGTTGTGTTTTGATAATGGATGGATAATTGCGTGTTTCGCTTTAGCCAATGACCGAAACCTTTTTTAAAGCAACCAAATTCAGTTATAAGGTGTCCGGAGACGTCATAAAATATTTGTAACGAGTTAAAAATTTCAATCAAACTTATAACCTGTCTTTTATTAAGCAGATTTGAAATAATTGCCTGCTTCGATATTCTACGCATAGATTTGTTCTTATGATTCATATTTGCTGTAGCATTTCAAAATATTTTTAATGAACTCTTTTATTTATTATTTCAATAAACCATTCTCGTGAACTATTTATATATGTAGATAAATATTACTCTTTACCCACATTACCAAAAATCATGATGAAAAAACTTGCTGTTCTGAAACAATACGTTTATAGGAAAAGTTCGGCATACTTTTACAAATTAAATTTTTTACTCGCTTAAAGCTGAAAATTTGCGTTTTTCATTAAATCGAGTTTCGCTGTAACGTTAACTGTGGTAAATGTATTGCAATAAAACAATAATCAGTTTAAAAAGTTTGAATTCAAATCAAATTTAACTCTTCTCGGCTCCTATTCTTTCCAGTGGTCTGCGGTTTTGACAAACCACACTAAAATTTGCAGCTGGCGGTTGAAGTAATTTCCTGTTAAACTTTTTCCAAATAGGAATTTCAATTTGGTCGGATTACCCACATGATTTTAATGGGCACTGGCATTTCACAATATCTCATTTGGCGCATTCGTCAGTTTTACATGTTTTATTTATGTATGCGACATATCTCTGGATTTATAAAAAAGGAAAACCTTCTTTTATTTGTAAATTTAGGTGGAAAGTTATTTTATTAAAAAAAGATACTCCTTGTTTTCGAACTTCAAATAATGTTATCCATTATTTTCTTTATTTTATACTGTAGGTTGTCGCTAAAAAGTATTGTTAGAAATTTAAAAAAACTCGTAAATGGGCATAACATTTCAATTGTTTTTGGAAAATTGAATTTCTCAAACAACTGAGTGGCAAATGATAACTAATTAACATTCATGATCTCAGATCAGGATATCTAGGGGGTTAAAAATTTTACTATATCTTCCTGTTTCTTTATTAAATTATAAAAGTGTGTAGTCACGTCCCTTATAACCACACCAAAAATTATTAATATAAATTTACACGCTATTTTAAATCCTCAATATACCTGCAAGAAACAAAGAGTGTCAGGTTACTACAAAAGTACATTAGTACATTTTGAGAATATAGTATCTGAGAAATATTATATCCAAGAGTTTGTTATCTGTTTGTTCTGATAGAGAGAAAAATAAATATGTATTTTTCGTTGGAAAGTGTTGATTAGTGTTAATTCATTTAATGTTTTGCGTTTCATGAGACACAATTTGCCTGAAGTATATGATTCTAATAAAACTACTTTATAGTTTTGATGTGAAAATTTCTTTAATACGCCTAGTGTATCGAAATAAATTGATATTCAACAAAAAGAAAGAGTTACAATATGTGTTTACTATAAGTTGTTTTGTAACTTGCAGTGATCTTAATTCTAAAATATAAAGCATATAAGCTTGCAATATCATTTGGGTTAGAGGCTCTTAATACGGTCAATTTAATTACCTATTTGTTTATCTTAAAACCTATTGCAAAAAATGTTGACTTCGACTACTAATTAACAAAAACTACCAAAAAACCATTTTTGTTGAATTTATAGGTAACTATAAGTCTTAATCAAAGTCAAGCTTTGGAGCATATTTCAATCAAAATTTTATAGTAAATATGTAGTCCGATTGGATTGCCTTCTAAAAGTCAATTGAAACTTTCTAAATTGATATTTACGTATTTTTTTCTAAAAACTATAAGATATTTTTTAAGTAATCTACGAATGGCAGTTTCTTAGAGACACATTTATGATGTACTGGAAATTATCTTAAGTTCTTAAAAGGATTGATTAGATATCTGAAATTATCAGTATTCACTAAATATGTATTATCCATTAAATAAGAAAGCAAACAAATCAATAAAACTTATAAAAATTAAATTTGCATATCAAACATGACAAAATACAATTTTTCTCCGGTGGCTTGCCTTAGGTTTTCAGAAAAATGTAGTTAGATTATCTACGCGAGTGGTTTTATTTGAGACTTAATTTTTTCGCATCTAATTCCATTTTATTTCAAGTAACTCCTCATTTGTTTATTTAGAACATTTTTTAACATTTAATATCTTATATTACAAAACAAACGTTTATACATGGTGATTCATTAACAACGAGAAAATCGAAAGCTGAAGATACTCGTGAAATGGTGACCATTGGCAGGTTGATAGTTTCGAAAATACAGGGTGTTGAAACTTAAATTTTTACATCGTTTTTTTTGCGATTATTCTAAAATTGTATAGGTTAGGAACTTGAAAATTTGTGCAACTATATTTTTTTAAGCGAATAAGATGCGTGTTGCAATTTCAGCGTTGCTCATAGGGGCGCCACAAAAATCAATTTAACGAACACTGTTTTGATAATATCAATCCAAGTGTTTCTTCATGTTATTACAACACTTAACAATAAAACAAATGAAATACGTAATAATGATTTAAAGTAATTGTTAGAAGAATCCACCGTTGACACTGATACACTTTACACGTTTTCTGAGAGATCTTCGAGTCTGAAACAACAACATTGGGATTGCGTCTGATTTCGTTGGCAGCGATTTGTATTATTTACCATAACTCTTCACGCGAACCAATAGATTCTTTGCAAACTATATCTTTCATTCGAGACCAAATAGAAAAGTTAAGAGGATTGAAGTCCGGACTTCTGGTTGGACAAGCAAAAATGTTTGCACCGCTTGAAGAAGTTCCACTTTATTTAAGAAGAAACATGGTTCATGCACAACGAAGCTCCACCGCATTTTTCTCGGCCAGTGCGTGCATTTTTAGATGCAGTTTTTCCAAATCGATGGATTGGCCACGTAAGCATTTTTACTTAGTCACCCAGAAGTCTGGACTTAAATCCTCTTGATTTTTTTATTTAGTCTCGAATGAAATTTATACTTTACAAAAAATCTATTCGTTCGCGTGAAGAGTTGTGGCAAAGAATACAAATCGCTGCCAACAAAGTCAGACGCAATCCCAATATGTTGTTTCAAACTCGAAGATCGCTCAGAAAACGTTGTGTAAAGTGTATCAGTGTCAACGGTGGATTCTTCGAACAATTACTTTAAATCATTATTACGTATTTCATTTGTTGTATTGTTAATTGTTGTAATAACATGAAGAAACTCTTGCTTTGTTTCGCCTTTAATTTCTCGTATTATTAAAACGTAGTGATCGTTAAATCGATTTTTCTCGAAAACTGATCGAGATACCGAAATGAAACAAGAATACATAATTAGTGAATAAATAATTGCTCTTTCAGGTTTTGAATCAAGTTTTATGTTAGACATATAGGGTAAAAAATTATTAACTAAATTTTCGATCAATTTGGTCGTAAGTGACGCCCTCTATGAGCAACGCTGAAATTGCAACACGCATCTTATTCGTCGCTTAAAAAAATATAGTTTTACAAATTTTCAAGTTTCTAATCTACATATTTTCAGAATAATAGCAAAAAACGATTTAAAATTTTAACTTTCAACACCCTGTATTTCCGAAACTATCAACTTTCGGATAAGGTATGTTTGCGCCAATGGTCACCATTTCACTGTAGTATCTTCAGCTTTTGATTTTCCCATTGTTAGTGAATCACCCTGTATAAGATAATATTTTTAAATTTGGACGAGGAAAACGTTCCTTTATTTGTGACACCTTGTTACCTCTTGGATATATAGTACTCGCTGACTTCTAAAATATCAGTTCGGCTTCTTGATAATAAGTAAAACTGCATTATTCTAGAACAAACATGTATTTTCAATCACACTCAACTTATCGATGGATTCGAATACCTCAAAAATGCATAGTGCTTTATTTATTTCCAAGAAAATGTAATCATGTACACTTACATAATTTTTTGTTTCAGATGATCGACGTCAAAAACAACATCCACTACCCCAGTGGCTACCCAATATCCCAACACCCCCCGGTGTTCCTGTGTTCCTCACCAGGGCCTGACCCGTACTGTTCTCAGGACCTCTACAACCCCGTCTACGAAGAACTAAGCGACGCCGAGAGCGAACTAACCCCCGCCCCTCAGAGTGAAGACGAATTCGCCGAAGACGAGCTCAGTTTGGGCGGCGAAATGGACAGACGGAGACTAGATATGCCTCCGCCACCGTACAGACAGGATCATATGCTTATCAGACGAGAAATACCTCGGTTCCGCAGACCGCACGAACCTCTACCTCCTGTTCCCGGTAGCAAGAGGCATCGAAGCTTGGATAGACGGCGTCAAGAGTTCCATGAGGGGATGCTGCTCGACGCCCTGCTGCAATTGTATCCGCGAGTGGGTAGTGTGGAACCTCCAATTCGTCGGCAGATCCCTAGTATAACGCACAGGATACAGTGTATGACACAGACTCCTGGACCTTTCGAAACTATGCCGGTGCTGGGACACTTAGCGACGTTTCGGCCCATCCCTAAGCCATATTCGCAGGATTCCGCTTTCGGGTCCGATTCGGGTTACAGCAACCACACGAGCTGCACCAGAGGGTCCAACCGCGGCAGAAGAGACCCCAGAAGATTGTCGCAGTTGAGTGCAGATTTAGCCCTAACGTAAAGGGAAATTCAGAGGCACATAATTTAATCGCCAACGGTTTTCACCACTCGATTTAGGATCCTGAAGAAATCATCAGTTTCGGGACCTATACAGTGCAATGGGCAAATTCGGACGACCCCTTTGTTATTAAGTTTTGTGATAATAGACTTTCTACGATAAACGTACTTAGTATATTTCGTTTTATATACCAAAGTGTTGGTTGTGAATAATGTATTGCCGTTTGGCAAACACTTTCCCTGCAGTCTACTTCCTTCGAAACAAATGAATGAATGTAAACAATAGTTTGTGTTTCGACATGATTAATAATACAATAATTTTGTACTCTGATGTATTTGGAAACTGAAAATTATTTCACATTGTTGGGAAAATGATTAATTGGCGTTCGCGAACTTAATAAAGACTTACTAATTGCATTTTGAAGCAACACCAGTTAATTTTAATTAAATAATAAGGAAACCGTCAGAAAAATATTTTTGTATTACTTTTATAATACTGATCTTAGAGCAAAATCAATTTACGTATTTTCGTAACTAAGCTATTTTAGAAGTGCATTTTAATGAAAAAATTCAATATCATAAAACACAAAAAAAAACTGTTTTTAACATTCTAAAAATATTCGTAATTTAAAAGTGTTTGACATACGGAAAATTCCTATAATATCGACTAAACAACTGTATCATTATTTATCATAATTATTTCTCATTGTTCATAGCTAATCTAGTTTTGATTATACTTGGTCAAATTCTCGGCATTTTCGTTATCTACACTCAAACAATTCTCAACAAAACGACATTCCAGTTTACGATAAACGAGGACAATTAAGACAATTCTTCTACAGGGTGTTTCACTTCATATTTGTAATATATTACAAAAGTGATGACTGTATAATTTAACATTCTGAAACACTCGGTACAGTACACACATCTTTGAACTATGTAGAAAATGTAAATATATCTTGTATATTTTAGAACTACTTCGGCCAACCAAAGTTTCTAGAATATAAATTTTCTATTGTAATCTGTACAAGTTGTATATTTTGTTTATAGTTTTTATTTATTTTTGTACATATAATTTATATAGAATATTTATTGATCCTTCAAACACTGATTCAACTTGTCAACCTAACTATTTTGTACACTTCTAGGGATTGTAGACACTTCGATTGTAACTTGTATGACTGAGATATAAATATGTAACTGCATTAAAAAGTAGATTTTTCACGGTATATCATATAATAAATTTATAGCTTCTTCCCTAACTATCCAGTCAAATTTACATACATTTTTAGTTTCTCAGTGCTTATTCAGAAAATTGTAAAGAAATACATATTCGATGTTTATTTTTGCAAACAAGCAGTTGAATTTGTAATTTCCTGAAATATATAATGTATAAAAATTTTGACTGGATTTAAATTCTGATGAAGCCGCATCGGTTGTAAACAACTCGCAAGCTTTTTCCCACAAAAAGTTGTTTCCAGTAAGTAGCTTATTACTACTACTACTATTACCCATATTACTAAAAACTTTGAGAAATTACTCGACACCATCACGTTAAGAATGAATAGCAATTAGCTCTAAATAATTAAATTTGCAATAGGGATAGTTAGTATTTTGCATTTTGTTAAGAGAAACAGGGTTCCGATTGTGAAAAGTGCGTCAACCAACTGGTTATGATTCACTTTTGTTAATTCATTTCGAATTCCTAGAACGTAATGCACAATAGCGAAACAATACATGTATCGATAAGTTTTTGTTGTTTATCTGTTATAAATTTTATCAGTGTTTGTGATGTGCTAGTCCATTTTATTGTAATGCGTAATTTTCAATTAAAAATGTTATTGTTTCGATTTTTTATCGCACTGATAAATAATAAGTTTTAATTGAATATTATTTTGTTATTGTTTTATTACGACTTGGTAAAAACATAATTTATATGAATAAAATATTACTGATTAATTTCACACACTTGTTTTATTTAATGTGTATTGTCTCTACCTCTGCCCAACAAATAAAAAACTGAATATGGAAATATATTTATAAAATAAAATTACATTTGCATAGTAATGTTTAGCAAGAATTTTATGTTTTTTCAAAAAAAATTAGATAGTGTTGGTACTTCTATAGAAAATTTTCTTGCACTTTTCATTGGTACAAATGAGCAAGTAGTTGTTAAATTTAAAAGTAAATATTTATACTTTAAAGATACTAAGCCAATTCAAATAAATTGAAGAAAATTACCTAAACTTTCTATCGAACGGAATCAATCAATGTTCAATGATTTGAATTGAATTAGACCAGCTATATCTAAAATATACAGCGCTATCCAAAAAGATTGCATGGATGTATGGGGAAAAAATTATGTATGAAATTAATAAATTCCTTCGATTGTCAGTTGTCTCTGTCGTCAAATCAAAATAGCGCCCATCGAATTTAAATAAAATTTGGCACACCTGGTGTTAAATGGGATAAATCGAAAGTATTATCTTTGGGATTTGACAGACTAAAGTCATCAATTATATTTTTTCCAGAAACATACTCAAACTTTTTTTCCTGTTAAAAAGCTCTCTTTTTTCTAATAAACTTTTATTAGAAACATTTTTCTTCCCGGGACACTGAATAGTTCCATTAAGAATAATCCATTTTTCTGGGAAATATTGCTGCACAATCCTGGCAGTTGTGCTGAAACCATAGGTTTCTCTTTAGCTGAACTACAGGAAGTTATTATTGTAGGAAATTTAGGTAACTCATGCTGTTCAATGTATTCCTAAAAATAAGGCCCAATTAAATGCCTACCGATGATGACACACCATACATTATTTACTCCAAAATGGCCTTGATTTTGGACTGGATTTACAATGTGGGGATTTTCAATGGACCAGTAGTGTTCGTTGCGCCTGTTTGGCAAATCATTACTCACAAACCGACTTTCGTCCGTCCAAAGAACGTGCCGAAAAAGGTTCTGATCAACAAATTTCAATGTAACACTAAGACAAATACTCCAAATTGTAAATTTTGTAATCATGATACCTATTGGTCTTTAAAATTCGATGAACGACTGATTTATCCAAATTCAATTCCCGGCTAGCCTGCTGTATAGAATTTCGTGGATTTTGTTCGAAATACTGTAACAGTCTAGCTGTATTAACATTGTTTATTACCCTTCGGTCAATTATTTGATTATTGCGAGCAGAAAATGCATCTTCATTTCGTCGCAAAGTCGCCTCCAATCATGTAAATGTTCCATTATCAGGAATAAGACGCTCTGGATACCTTTCTCGATATAACTACAGCTCTTCTTGAAATTTTTTGTGACTCGCCTTAAATTAGCAACATATCAATTTTTCTGAGAAAACATTTTGTAAGAACAAAAATTAAACGTTTGACGTTCGTATTGAATAATGACAAGTATTTTGTGACATTTATGAACTTGAAACAACGAACATTCAATTATTTTCCAACGACTACTTGATCCTTCCACTTCTAATGTGATTTTTAGTGTCCCAAACTTTATTTAAATTTTTTGTATCCTCACAGTAGGCCCATACTATCGAGTTTGAGACGCCTTGTACATTCTCGCAAAAAGTAAAGAAGACTACATAAACATTTCAAAGAAAATTTAAATGCACAGAGCATACCTAATTGTGTTTTAATGCATTTAAATGTAATAGGTAATATATCAAGGTTTTACCCATTTTTCCTCTCTCCCGATGAAATATAGTTCCCATCACTCGTTCCTCTAACTCTTTATATACAGTATGCGCATCTCACGTTTGCTCATTTCACCGACCACATAAAATTACTCGTTTTTTAATAAAACATTTAAATCTACGTATTGCCAAATATTTAAAACAAAAAAAAAACTTATATTTTAAATTAAGTTACAAAATATACAATAATTAAATTTGTAATCTACCTACTTAAAATCGGACATAATTTTGAAATATAAAATATTAAGTAGATAATTATGAACATTCTTTTTCAAAATAAAAATATGCATCATTCTGAACTAACACAATACAAGGAAACATTTTTTTTATTTTCGGTAAAGTGCCGGAAAAGAAATGATTAAAACAATAATGTTAAGATCAAGAAAATTTAGATATATAGAAACGTTTTTAAAGGGGGAAGGAGTTAATTTTAAAATGTGTTATTTATATTGAAATTATTGAAATGAAAGTTTTAGTAATGTATATGAATCAAAGTTTACAGTTTAGATGTTTCAAATATTTGTCCTTTCCAAACAGAAAAAGCCATGTTGTAGGTGCGTAATCACGGTTTTTGCTGTCGCTTTAAAATTACGCTTTTATATTGCAAAAAATACAATACCTAAGTATTGAAAGTTGTCCTCGTTTTCGTCAACAAATCATGCTCGGCGTATCCAACGTTAAGTACAAGTTACTAGTAATGCTACTTGCGAATTAAACTCGCAAATTCATTAATTTGCGAGTTTAATTCGTTTACGTAACTGTGTCCACTGTATTCTATCCACCTACCAACAAATGTTTCTTTGGAAAAATTTCTTACCAGGCGTCGAAACTGTGATGGAAAAATGCATGACTTATTCGATATTAATAATATAAAGTGTCAAGTTCTTCAAAAGGTAAATAATTTTGTAAATAAAGCCAATCATGGTGATCAGCTAACTTCTGCGATAAGATGGAAGATTCAATACCTTACCATTAACAATGCCCGACTATAACTAAGTTCATTAAAAATCTGTTTTGAAAATTCTTCGGACCTCGTGAGAACTTTCCATGCGGTTATTATGAAAGTATTTAATGAAATTTTCATTTTCGATATTTTGTTCTGATAAATATTCATAAAAACGAACCCTGTCAGGATAGTGTTCAATGATGAATGTGCTCTAGTGCTTTAAAAACCTTTAGAATCCAAAGAAAGCCATTCGTATTCTGGCCAACGTACGAGGGTGGTCTGAAAAGTTTCCGACCTCAACATGAAGATGGCAGCACTCGTAAATAAAAGCTAGTGAATTTCGTTGTTCATCTGTTGACAGTTACTCACCAAAGTTTCAGCCATTTTGGACTCGTAGTTGTTATGTAACAGTCGTTTGAGTGAGTTGATGTGAGTGTTTTTATGAAAATGGTCAAAATCGAGTATCGAGCTGTCATTAAATATTTGTTTTTGAAAGGCAATACGCCTACGCAAATCAAAGATGAGTTGGATTCTGTGTATGGGGACTCTGCACCATCATTTACCACAGTGAAATTTTGGGCAGCTGAATTTAAACGTGGCCGTAAGAGCTTGGGAGACGATGAACGTTCGGGACGTCCAAAAACTGCAACTACCGACGAAAACATCGCCAAAGTTCACCAAATGGTGCTAGACGACCGCCGAATTAAAGTGAGAGAGATAGCAGAGGTTATGAACATGTCAAAAGAACGTGTTTGTCACATATTAAATCAACATTTAAACATGAGAAAGCTGTCCGCGCGTTGGGTGCCGCGTTTGCTCACGTTAGACCAAAAACGTGTTCGAATGAACATTTCCAACGCTCTGTTGGCGCAGTTTAGGCGCAATAAATCCGAGTTTTGGCGCCGATTAATTACTGTAGATGAAACTTGGATACACCATTATACGCCCGAAACAAAAATACAGTCCAAACAGTGGACTGCAAAGGGGGAACCGGCTCCAAAAAAAGCAAAAACTGTTTTTTCGGCTGGGAAAGTGATGGCGACTGTTTTTTGGGATAGTCATGGAGTTATTTTAATCGATTATCTTCAAAAAGGAAAAACCATTACAGGAGCATACTACGCATCATTACTTGACAAGCTGAAGGCAGAACTTGCGGAAAAACGGCCACATTTGCAGAAAAAGAAAATCCTGTTTCACCAAGACAACGCACCGTCTCACACCTCAGCGGTTGCCATGGCGAAAATCCACGAATTACGGTTTGAACTGCTTGACCATCCGCCTTACTCACCAGATCTAGCCCCAAGCGACTTCTTTTTGTTCCCTCATCTAAAAATTGCGCTCGGAGGACAGAGATTTTCGTCAAATGAAGAGGCAATCACCTTCGTGAACAATTATTTTGCAGAGAAAAACGCCGAGTACTATTTGGACGGGTCACAGAGATGGGAGCATCGCTGGGAGAAGTGTGTAGAGTTACAAGGAGACTATGTTGAAAAATAAAAAAAAATCTGAAAAAATGTCTTGTATCTTTGTTAGGTCGGAAACTTTTCAGACCACCCTCGTAGATTACAGAGATCACTGTCGCCAACTTTTTGTGAACCTTGCAATTATGCCCTTGCCATCGCTATTTGTTTATTACTGTTTATTGGATATTCATAAGAATATTGCCAGTTACACGGTTCAATCGGATATACTTACATAATTACTGTACTTGTACTTCTAAATTCTTACGGCTCCCTAGATATCGCTTAGCACTGACTGCGAGAAATTCCTTAAATTTAAACATGTTCAATGTCCTCCCATCTCATGTAAAATCACTATGTTTTGTCAAATTTAAGTTGTGTATAAAGAATTATTTGTTGTCAAAATGTTTTTATTCCGTTAGTGACTTTATGGACAGTGTTCATGACTTTTAGTGGTTGCGTTTATTATGTTATTAAGTATTTTTTATTGTTAGGTCAATGTGTATTTCAATTAGTCTAGTGCTTTAGTTGTCTTTTCTTAAATTGTTGTTTTTATGATTGTGTGTTTCTTTAACTTGCTACCATAATATGTTATGTATTAATATAGACCAATAAATATTCTAATATTTTATATAAATTATATTACTAACTTTAAGCAAAAATGATTCTATTCACGTTCCCGAATTTCCAACGGTTCTTGAAATATCGGTGTTTGAAGTTGCCAGATCGTATGGGTAGTTGCTAA